CCGCCGCGCTTCCCAAGCGGCGCACTGTAGCAGTGCGCCACCGGGCCGGCCCCATTTTTTAGTAAATTTATAAAATTGTGTAACCAGCACCATAAGTCTGTTTTAGAACATTTCTGTAACCCCATAAAGTTCCCTCATGCCTGTTTGTAGTCAATTCCTGCCTCCACCCCAAGCTACAGGCAACCACACTGATCTGTTTTCTGTCTCCGTATTGCCTTTTCTGGACATTTCATATATTGATTCAATATAATATACAGTCTTTTAAAAAAAACTTTCTATTTGGGAATATTTCATTTTTAAGTACCTAAGGACTCACAGGAAACTCATAGGCACAGAGAGGTCCATGTACCCTTCCCCCACCTTCCCCCAGCAGTAACATCTTACATGACTATAGTACAATATCAAAACTATATGTACAATCTACAGACTTTATTCAGATCACAAATTTTACATGCGCTTATTTGTGGGTGTGTGTGTAGTTCTGTGCAGTTGTGTTGCACGTGTAGTTTTGTGTAACTCCCACCACAATCAAGACTTAACAAATTTTCCCTCACCGCAAAGGAGATCCATTGTGCTGCTCCTTGTACTTGTTTTGCCTTTACAAGCATGTGGATAGCCTGTTTGGTGAAATGTCTTTTCATATGATTTGTCTATTTTCTAATTGTATGATTTTGGTGTTTTTTGTTTTTTGTTTTTTACTGCTACATTTTGAGATTTCTTTATATATTCTAGATACAAGTACTTTGTCAGATATGTGGTTTGCAAATTTTTTTTCCCAGTTTTTAGCTTGTCTTTTTATCCTCTTAAGAGGGTCTTTCACAGAGCAAAAAGGTTTTAATTTTGGTGAAGTTCAGTTTATTGATTTTAAAAAAAAAATCTGGATCATGCTTTTGGTGCTAAAATATAAGAACTCTTCACCTAGCCCTAGGTCTTGAAGATTTTCGCTTCAGTGAAAAAGTTTTGTATTTAAATCTATAATCCATTTTGAGTTAATTTTTTAATAAGCTAAGGTTTAGTTTGAGGTTTATTTTCTTTTGCCTGTGGATGTCCGATTGTTCCAGCACTATTCGTCGAAAAGATGATTTCTTCTCTGTTGAATTGCTTTTTTATGTTTTTTTTTTTTTTTAATAAAAGATGACCAGTAAGGGGATCTTAACCCCTGACTTGGTATTGTCAGCACCATGCTCTCCCAAGTGAACCAACCGGCCATCCCTATATAGGGATCCTAACCTGTGGCCTTGGTGTTATCAGCACCACACTTTCCCAAGTGAGCCACGGGCTGGTGCTAACTTTTGTATTTTTATCAAAAATCAATTGGGCATATATATGTGGATTTATGTCTAGATTCTCTATCTGTTCCATTGAGCTATGTGTCTATCCCTCCACCAGTACAACACAGTCCTGAATACTATAGCTAAATAGAAAGTCTTGAAATCTGTTAGATTGATTCACCTTACTTTATTCTTTTTTTTCAAAATTATTTTAGGGCCGGCCCGGTGGCGCACTGGAGAGTGCGCCACTTGGGAGCGCGGTGGCGCTTCCGCCGAAGGTTCGGATCCCATGTGGAGACCAGTTCCCGCTCACTGGCTGAGCGAGGTGCGGGTGCAACACCGAGGGCTGCAATCCCGTTGCCGGTCCCCGGTACGGGCGTGACACCGAGGGTTGTGATCCCGTTG